AAAATATTAAATTTGTCATAGTTTGCCGAGTGTCAAATTTCCCCAAACTAAATCGATGTTGCCCGCTAATAAGTATCGGTTATGTTTAATATTATCACAAATCCCAAATATCGATTTAGACATAATCGGCGATCTTAAATCATAATTGTTTTAGTTTCACTTTATAATTCTCTTTTAAGCTCTATTGATGGTAAGACTCATCCCTATTTGTAAAAATAGATAAACCTTAAAATTCTTATAGGCATAAGACTGATCCAGAGTTACACATGGTGAGATAAAAGGACATACAATATATACCACATCAGAGTACTCATTCTCACAGTGAGTAAGTATCTGATATATATATATATATATATATATATATATATATATATATATTATATATTGCTATGATGTTTTGTTTGTGTATGAGCAATAAGTGTTTTTTAATAACATATATACCTACGTATATATATATATATATATATAAAGTATATAAATTATATTAACAAATTTTGATACCTTTCTGTCACTGAATGCCTAAATGAAACTGTTTTCCAAAATAAAGATTTTAATCATCATTAAATATCTTCGTTTTCAGCCTCGATTATCCTTGTTTTTGTGAAATTACGTTTTCCAAATATACCATAATGTTTTAATTATCAGCTTTTACCAATTTAAATTATTTTTCTTCTTAATAATCTCCAATCACCATATAGATATTATAATTTTAATATACTTTCAAATATACTTTCAGATACTATAAAACTTTTAATCACTGATTACTGCATACTGTAATGTATAATTGCTGTATAAAAACTGACCACTGTATACTATCTGCTTGTACTATTTACTGATCAACTGAATGATTAACTGCTTAATGAATGCACTGTCTAACTATCTTACTGTAACTACTAACTGTCCAACTGTAACTGTCTTAATGAATAACTATTTAACTGTTTCACTGTAACTCTCATACTGCTAACTGTAGCTGTCTTAATTTACTCTCATACTGTCTTGAACTGTCTAATCCATCCTTGCTCAAAATTACATCGTATTCTAGCATTAAATCATGTTCGAATTTGTTCTATTTCATCAATATCTGAATGTTCTCGAATATTCTACTCGCAAATAGGGTTACCTTTCTTATATTGACTTTTTCCAGAGAATTATTTGCTTTTATATGGATAATTTTATGGAAATTCACTCACGTCATAATAATACAGTGTCAATTCAGTGTACATTTGGTTGCCTATGCACATGGCTCACTTTAATATATCATAATATTATAATTAATAAAACTTTGTACACTTATTATTTGCTAATTTCTTAAAAATACCCTCATATAAATATTTTTTTTTAATATTCCCTAGTCTATAACTTATAAATTATTTCTTTAATCACTATTTAAGTTTATTAATTAAAAACTCATAATATTATTATGCAAATTTCTTCTATATTTATTATTATCTCAATATATATATATATATATATATATATATATATATATATATATATATATATATATATATATTATATATAAATTATATATATATATATATATTTATATATATATATATATATATATATATTTATATATATATATATATATATATATATATATATATATATATATATATTTGGTGGCTGTGAACGAAACGATATATGATATCGTTTTCTGTATCCTTTGTGCAATGCGAAATGTGTAAAGATTAAATCTTTTAGCGAAAGCCGCTTCGCTTTATTATATTAAAAGGCCAAATATATGGCCTAGGAGACAAATTCTTTAAACTTTCCGTGCTCGAATCGGTATCACTAAGTGTTATGATTAGACTTCGGCAAATATGCATATTGCATATTTTGCATATTGTGCATATTTTATGCAAATATTTCATATTTTGGCATATTTGTATAAAAGTTTGCATAAAGTGCATAAAAGTTCAGATTTTTATACTGTATTTGAAAATTTTTAAACATACTAATTTATTTCAATTCTTGTATAAAATTTTGTAGTCATTTTGATCAAGAAATGATCTAAGTACGTAATCTCTACAGGTACAAAACATTTACAATTTCAAAGAAGATCAATTTAAGTAGCCCTCAACATTCTTAGAAAGTCTCGGTCACTGAGGCATTCAGTTATTGGATAATCGCTAAGGGTTCGCTCATTTGCATTTTATGATCTAATCCCCAAATCTATCTACAATTTATTGTATCTTAACAGCAGGTAAACGGCTAATAGTTTTGTTCCTAATTTAGGGATTTTGCAGAATCTCCCAGTTTATTGAATTAGGCACCTAAACATTTCTAATTTGATGCTTAGATTTGTAAATCTTTTTTGTTTTGATATTCAAAGCGTAAACACTCGTTGTGCATAACAAAAAGGAAGATTGTGATTTTATAATGCCTAAAACAACCAGTGCTTCAACTTGGATTAAACCTTATAAAGAGCTGTCTATGGATATGGGAAAAATCTACTGTTCAGTCTGTGGCAAAATTGTAAGTATCTAATATTTTCTATTAAATATCTAATATTTCATACATACAGGGTGTGAAAAATTAAACAAAACGATATAGTTAATGAGGGGTCAAACTTATTTACTTTTCGAGATACAGGGTGTTAAAATTAAAAAAAAATTAAATTCTTTTAGTTAATAACAACAATAACTTTAAAACCAATAAACGTATTTACTTGAAATTTAGTACTCGTAGGTTGTTTTTAAATGAAAAATAGCTTCCTTTAGTGAGAAAAAATTGTCCATGGTACATTTTTCACCTTTACTTTTTTTAATGAAGTCAGCTATTCTAAAACACAATTATTTTTATTGTAATTGAATTAACAAAAAAAAACTTTTGTTGCATTTTAAAATAAGTTATATGATGTACTAATGGTTAGTAACAAAAACTAAATTGTGGATTAATACTGCATTTAAAACACTAAGCGAGTGTTTTTTTTCCAAACCAGTTATTTGATTAACCAAAAACACCTTGTATATTTTTATATTTTAAAGGTTGGGTTAAAATAAAGGTTTTTATTTTTATTTATAGATGTAAGAAGAAATTTCAGATAGACCAACATGTGAGAACTGCTTCACACATTGCAAAAAAAAAAAATAGTAGGAAAACATCAAACTTCAATGACTAAATGTTTCCAATCTACTTCAAAAAAATTAGATGAGCAAGAAACTTGTAATGAAGACTTGTGTCGCGCATTAGTGTCTGCAAACATACCGCTTTCAAAATTAGCAAATGTAAATTTTAGTTCGTTTCTAAAAAAATATTGCAAACTTAATGTTCCAAGTGATCGGTCTCTAAGAAGAAATAATGTAAACGGGCTATACTCGTCGGTGTTAATTAATATTAAGGAAGAAATTGCAGATAATTATTTTTACATATCTGTAGACGAAACCACTGATTCCTCAGGAAAGTATATTGCTCATTTATTGATTGGTGTTCTTAAAGAAGATTCCTTACCAAAATCTCATCTTATTTCATGCCAGCAACTTAAGAAAACAAATGCTTTAACAATTTTGAGTTTTATACAAGAAACATTAGCAACTTTTTTTCTTCCGACAACTATTCCTTCTAATAAATTACTGCTTATTTTATCGGATGCTGCTCCTTGTATGGTGAAAGCAGTATTTTAATACATGTTACTTGTGTAGCGCATGGATTAAACAGAGTTGCAGAGGAAATACGAAAAAAGTTTCCTCTTGTAAATACCATGATATCCAGTATCAAAAAAGTATTTCTTAAATCTCCTATAAGAATTCAACTTTATAAAGAAATGCTACCTAACATTCCTCTTCCACTACAACCTATTTTAACGCGATGGGGAACATGGTTAGAAGCAGCTAATTTTTATGCAGATCATTTTGTTAAAATAAAGAACATAATTGATAAGTTAACAGATGAAAGTTCCCAATCTCTTTTGGATTCTAAACAAACTTTTCAGAGTAACTTGCTTCAACAAGAACTTTCATTTATAAAATCAAATTTTAGTTTTGTTCAAAAAACAATTACTCAGTTAGAATCACCAAAACTGTCATTGTTCGAAAGTACAGCATTAATAAAAGAATTTGCGTCATGTTGTCGGAACGTTAGAGGTAATATTGGAAAAGATATTTTAAAAAAATTTGAAGCTACCATGGAAAAAAATAAAGTTTACCATATTCTTTCTGGAAGTAGTCAGTGTTGTAGCTGGAAATATTTCGGAAACAATTAATTGAGAACCAAATGTTTTGGTTAGTTTGAAAAATGCTCCCGTTACATCAGTTGATGTTGAACGAAGTTTTTCCATATATAAATATATGTACTCAGACAGAAGCCACAAGTTTTTGTTAGAAAATTTTGAACACCACTTGGTCATTTATTGTTACCATAATTCTAAATAAGTTTATTCATACTTAAAAATAATATAGTTACTTAAAATAAATGTAAATCTTAATGAATAGTAGGAAATATTTAGTTATGTACACTTTTTTTTTTAAATAAAATTGTTACTATTTATGATTTTTTTATTTATTTGTATGCATATTTTGTAAAATATTTGCATATTTTCGGGTAAACACGTGCATATTTATGCGCATATTTTCTACATTTTTATTTGCATATTTGCCGAAGTCTAGTTATGATCATTTCGGCCAATCCCAGTCATCGTCAGACACTTGGGCTGATACAAATTCAAACTCGGAAAGTACAACGAATGTCAGTAAAATGAATGTCGGTTTATACATCAAAAGGAATTTTTTTTTTCAAGGGTTGAAAATTTGTAATAAAGTACAAATTAATATTGAATATGTTTTTTACTTAAATCAATCAGATTTTAATGCATAAAACGCTTAAATACTTAAATGAACAACACATATTATTGTACATAATACTTAAGATTATATTAATGATTATATTTATAATATAGCTGTATTTTTTTATTATATTGTTTTGATCTTAGCCAGAGGCCGAGAAGCGATGCTTAAATACTTGTTTCCCATTTTTTTCACTAAAGATAGATTTAACACTAGATTTAACAATTTAAAAACAAAAAGTCCACTTCGTTCATAATTAACTTTTGGAAAGGAGGGTAAGACAAGCTTAAATCAAAATTATCAGCTAAATCCATGCAGTGCGACAGAATTTTGAGGTAAGGTCCGCCTTATTTTCCGCCCGAATTACTGGACTAAATAGACCATAATTAAAATTATATTTTCGAATATAACGAATATTATATCGAATATTAGACTTTATACTCCAATTCTGACTTCCTGACCTGACCTATTTTCGAATGTGAAGTATATTACATGGTAATTCCACTATACTTTAGACAGTTCTATTATAATATCTTCGTATATTACTATATTTTTTAATAAAGTTGTTGTTAAACTGAGTTCAAATGTAAGCAAAAGTGAATATTTTTATGTTGTCGATTTTATGTTAAACTAAAAAAATTATCTAACTTAATAAGAAATTATCTATATTTATACTCATAGTTACACACTATCACATTCTCTTTTCCAGTTAATAATATCTATAGTAACATTTGACATCTTTTGTTTGAAATCGTCCCACCTGCACTCGACACTACATCGATGTGCTGTTAATGGATGGAGCTTATCTTCCTGCTTAAGATATATGGTTATGAAGAACTGACCTTCTTTGCTTTTTCTGAATTCATAAATGATAGTATCACAAAATCCAATCTTCCTGAAGTCATAGGCACCCATGACGTCTAAGATATTAATAATAGTCGAGTCATGAGCTGATATTATTCGGAATTTTGGTGTTTGTTCGTCTTTTTTATTCGAAAATTTATCGAAATGTTCAATTAGTGAATAAAAGAATGGTCCGGTTTGAAGTCTAGCTTGCGTTGGCGTAAGCGTCTTCAATGTATATTCGGTATCTGAAAAAAATATAAAAATATTATTTATTATAATATAAAATAAAGGCAATTAGATTGGCCTGATAGTGTAACTTAATCGTATAAAGAATTTATTGTTATTAAGAAGTTTAATTTCATAGCGTGGATCGTGGTTTTTAATCACAGATTACTTTGTGTAGCCGCTTTCCCTTCATTTAGGTTACGTGTCCATACCATTTCAGTTGTTTTCTCTATAATGTTCTGTGTTTAATTTTCAGAATTATATAGTGCGCCAACCTTTTCATCAATTATGTTGTAATTGTTTATTTCTGCCTACGCTTATGTGTTATTTCCACCCTGTATTATTTAATCCGATATTATCTATCATTCCAGCGATGTTCTTGATATTTGTTATTGCTGTGAAATGTCTATAGCGTACACAGCCTTTTATTTTTTTTAATTTACGTCGCCTCCTAAATTAGGCCCGCGGTGTGTTTCACTTAAACATAAATATTTTGTTTACTAATTGTCCTAATTTAGGTCTACTAGTTTAATCTAAAATTACTACCAATTATATTTTTTTTAATTCCTCTCTTCGTTTCCTCGTGATATTAATTCGTTCTTGTTCTGCCAAAATAATTTTATTGCTAGAAGATTGTTAAAAGTAAGGCTTAAAATAAATCTTCACCTGAATTCAAAACTATTAAGGTACTTTTAGACGGTCAGGTCAGTTTCAGAACAGTTGTCAGTTTAGTTTGGGTTATTAAAAGTGGTTAGACGATCAGTTTAGTTGTCAGTAATCATTTGTCTTGCACAGTTTAGTGATAGTACGTTCAGTGGGAGTACGAAGATAGCCTAATTGTGGTCGCGTTGTGCTTATCTCTAAAAAAAACCACGAAAAAGGAGAAGTAGATAGAGTAAAACTTGGCTTCTGAAAATAAATACACTTGCGCATTTAAATTTATTAAAGAAACTTCATTTTAAAGCTTCTGATTGGTCAAACTATTTAAGAATTAGTGAGGATGCATATCTAGAATTTTTTCAGTTAGTAACACCAATTATAAAAAATCAAGACACCAACATGAAAGTGATAAATATCATAAATCATAAATTCAGTAATAAAGTCATGGTTTGCCATCATGCCAGGTAGACACTACAACTATCGATAATTTTATATGACTGAGACCTGATCGGACAAGTTTGGTTATACATCAGTTTAACTGACAACTGTTGCGATAACTTTTAGTATAGTATACTGACAGTTCGACTGAAACTGACACTGAACGGAGAACTGATCTGACCATCTAAAAGTACCTTTATATGTCCAAATTTTTTAAAATTGCGTTTTTAACATCATTCGATAGCTTGTAGCCAACTTTATTGCATGCAGAAGTATTGTAAGTCCAAGCGCCACGGTTCTCCCACCATCTTCCTTTCTCTATTGCGGTGTAATAGTTCGCAGCGGGTCAGTTGAGAGCAGAATAATGTTCACAATGTGACAAAGTCACGACGGTGGCGTAACTCGGAAGAATATTTGGACATAGAATAGTTCTGATTTATTTGTGTGGACATACAATATATGTGTCATGAATATTTTGATGGGTCAACGTTTAATAATAGTGCATGCTGGTGGTGAAATGGGATTTATTCCAAACGCGCTTTTAATATTCAAGTCTGGTAGTAAATCTGGTGACAACCACTTAGAAATGAATGCCACGAATTACCGCAAATGGCTAAAGGAAAAACTAATTCCAAATTTACCCCCTAACTCAGTAGTTGTTTGCGATAATGCCTCATATCATTCGGTACAAGTGAATCCTGCGCCTAATAGTAATTCAAAAAAATAATAATATGATTGATTGGCTGATTAAAAACAATATAACATTTAATCCTCAAAGTTTTAAACCCGAATTGTATGAGTTGATTAAGTACCATAAAAATAGTTTCAAAAGTATGAATTCGATGAACTTTTACGTAAATATGGTCACACTCCTTTACGGTTACCTCCATAACATCCGGATTTAAATCCGATAGAGCTAATATGGGCTGCGATTAAAAATAATATCGCACAAAATAACATAACTTTTAAATTGGAAGATGTGAGACAACTGTTGGAAAAACGAGTTTCCGAAATAACCCCAGATGAGTGGAGAATACGATGTCATCATGCAATTAAAATAGAAGAGAGTTATTTAACATCCGAAGTCCAAATAGACCATCAAGAAGATACTAATCCCATTATAGTAAGCTTAGGAAGTGACGATAGTGACATCGAGTGTTCTTCGGAAGCAGAAAATTAAATTAGATTTTGTTGTTCTTCTTTGAAAGATTCACATTAGGTATATGAATTTTTAAAGGGTATGTATGTATAGTTAATTTTATATCTTTAAAGTTTTCATTTACAAATTTAGATGTGTATATATTTTATAATAACAGCAATATTGACGGTAGTCTTTATTATATCGCTAATATATATATATATATATATATATATATATATATATATATATATATATATATATATATATTTAAAAGAAACGACAAATCGGATAGGTGCATGAAATTAGGCCTTTCCCAAAGACAGAAATATTTATGTTTGCATGAGTCTATTATATCACTAAAAGGCTTCTAAGAAAAGAATTAAATCAGGTAGAAGATCTAGGTACATATAATTGGGACCGTTCATTAGCATATAAATATCCTCACTTTTTAATATTTTGGTATTTTATTGATATTTGATATTTTGGAAAATACGCTTGCATTTAATTGCTATTTTAAAAATCCATTTTATTAAACTTATCAATATTCAGAACATAATAATTCTTTTGTACAATAAAAAGAGTTTGTTTTTTCATGTAAAACGTATTACGAAAGTAGTATTGTTTTGTCCCATCAAATATCTCACTGATCATTTTTCAAATGTTGGCTTATGTTCAAAATTATTGAAAACTAAAAAATTTCCTTTATTCAGAATAATATGTTTTAGCTGTATCTACTAAACAGTGCGCGCCACTGTCATTTAGTTAAAATTTCAGTAACCAATCACCAACTTCGAAGGCGGTTCTTATACAATTTCGACATGCCTCACAATATGCAAATTAGATGCCTTCCCAAATGACGATTACTCTAAAAAGATACAAGAAAATATTACAACTTCCGGAACAAAGATTGACTAGAAAACTTAAGGACATTACCGAATAGATTTGGATATATGATAATGTCACAAAAATATTGAAGATCATGGCAGTACGCAGACTCATACTTAAGTAGATCAGGGTCAAGCAGACCGGATGGAAAAAAATTTGGAACTAGTACTGGATGGGTATGTCTACTTTAATGGTAGTCAGACGGATTCACCGGAAAATATTAAGTTTATAACGAAGTTTATTTTATTTAATTTATCACATGGTAATAAAACCAACGGTAGCACATACATCGGTGGTGTGATAACCAAAGATGCAGCAAAAGTGTTTTTTTTTAAATTAAGCAAAGTCCAAATACTTGCTTGCTAGGAATTACAGGATCTCTGAGAAGTACCACAACATCAGCTGCAAAGACCCTACGGGACCTCCCTCCTCTGAAAATCGTCGTCTAACGGCGGAGAAAATAATGAGAAGTGTGTGGTTGTGGACACAGATTAACAAATTATCAGTAAGCTGCTCTCTTCGAAAGAACGAGAAAAGAAAAAACTGCTAACTGAGTGATAAAACAAGCGAGTAACGGAGACCGAAATAGAAGAGCCTAAAAAGAAAGACGTAAGAGGGATATTAACCTCGCTAAGGCATAAGGTCGAAAGTCTTTAGTGGTTTGTGTAAGTGTGGCTTTTCTAAAAAAAAAATGTGGAAAACATAATGGAAATCGGATGATAGCAGGGCATCAGGACTGATGTTATGACTTAACCCTTTCGAGACTCCAGGTACATATGTGTACCACTACGTTTGCATACAAGCCTAAAGTGATATTTTGCCGTTAAATATTATTTAAAAATGTACCAGTCAGTTCTCCATTGCATCGTTTGAGTCACGTTCACGTGTAGCCGCGTAAAATATTTTAGTTAACCTAGGATTTGCGAGTTTTAGATGTGTTGGTTGCTACAGTCAGCATAAATACATTGTTTTTTGATACAAATTATAGTTAAATTGTATTATATCATTTTACAGACTGTTTGTTTTTGTGTCTTTTTATAGTAAATATATTTAGATTGTTATTTATTTATAGTAAAATAAACATTTGACTGTTTTTAAAATCTATGGTACTAATAAGTACCAATAGTCTTATAGTACGGTATGTAAGTGTACCATTAGTCTTATTAATGTCATTTTTAGATATGGATAAGAAAAGTCCACTTACACAGAAAGAACTTCAATATTATGCAGAATTATCATTTTCCGAGTCTGGAAGTAGTGATGACATGTATAAGCCTTCTGATGACGAATCGGAATCAGACAAGGATTGCAAAGATAATTTTCACGAAACTTCTGATGAAGAATCAGAATCAGAGTTAGAAGTTCGTGATACACAGGAAACTTTATAAGAAACTGCCACACCTAGTAGTTCTTTTGTGTTGTGGTCAACACCAAATGAAGGTTTTGCTCCGAAAAAACAAATTTCAAGTCAACGTAGTTGTACATTGGATGCTGGCATACAATCTAACTTGACGCCATACCAATATTTCAAAAAGTTATTTCCACGTTCTTTGTATATGTATATTGCTCAATGCACTAATTAAAGGATTGAAATATGTAAGCAGTCAAGAAGAACCGCTCGTCTGAAAGAAACTGACTTAGGAGAAATTCAAATAGTTCTTGGTTATATGCTAGTTATGTTCTACAACCCTGTACCAGAAATCAGTAATTATTGGTTAACTCATCCTTCACTGGGAAACGTTTCAATTCAAAATGCAATATCCCGTGACACATTCAAAGTTATATCGTCAAAAATATATTTTGCATCACCCAAGAAACCAACAGAAGCCTCAAAAACGTATTACATTGATGACGTTGTACAATGCTTGAAAGGTACCTTTCAAAAATATCGACAAG